TCTATTTTTCTATTTTTGTACAAACAAATATCTCTCGGTTGTACTTATCTAGATTGTAAACTCTAATATATTATTATAACTTAGTTTCTTCTTCTTTAATTTATTATTATTATTATTTGATAGACTTTATTTTATTATTATTATTGTTAATATTCTATTCTTCTTTTTTCCATCCCACCTAACTAGTATCTTTTTTGTTTTTGTTTTTTTATTTGTTTATTTTTATACAGTGCTACTGTTGATAAGTTTGTGGGGACAAAAAAAAAATGATTGAATCCAAAGGCCAAAGAAACGATTTTGTCTGGAAATATATAAAAGAAGTTGATGGGGAAAAGTATTTTAGATGTAAATTTTGTGATCAAACTTATAGTGGTACTGTAAGTCGATTTAAAAATCATCTACCCGGCACACATAAAGGCATTAAACCGTGTTCAAAAGGTCCTGAAGATATAAAGTTGGAATGCCAACAAGCATTAAAAAATTTCTTTGAGCAAAAAAGTGCCCGCAATGAGATGCTATATGAAATTGGGATGGGTGTTGTAGCAAAAGGCAAGAGTGGTGCTTCTCAATCTACTGAAGGCGATATTGGTAGTATGTCTACACAACCACCAAAACCGAGGGGTCCAATGGATAAATTTGCTAGTTCTCAAGCACAATAATCTACACTGAACTCCAAATGAAAATAAGAAGAAAGAAAAGATGTGTACCGAAAGATTGGGTGTTTTATATATTGTAAAGCTCTTCCATTTAATTTAGGCCTAGTTTGGGAAGACTAAATAAGTGCACTTTTTGACTTTTTTTGTATTATGTGTAGAGAAAGTAGAGAGAAGATATTGATTGATGTGACTCAAAAAAGATAAAAAGATGAAATAAGTGCACTTTTTTCTTTGTAGCCAAACTTGGCCTTAGTGAATGATCCATATTAGGTAGCTGCAGTTGATGGAATTGCAAATTATGGACCTGCTTCCAAACCCCCTTCTATGCATGAATTGAGGACTTGGATTCTTAAAGTAGAAGTAGAAGATATAAATGTCATGATGGAGGAACAAAAGAAAGCATGGAAACAATATGGATGCTCCATTATGTCTAATGGCTGGACAGATGGGAAAAGTAGAGTTCTTATTAATTTTCTTGTGAGTAGCCCTGCTGAAACTTGGTTTTTAAAATCAATCGATGCATCTAATACTATAAAAAAACAGGGAGTTGATGTTTAACTATCTTGATAGTGTCGTAGATGAAATTGGGGACGATAATGTTGTTCAGGTTATTACTGTTAATGCTTCAAACTATGTCAATGTCAGGTCTAGACTTATGGAGACGAGGAAGAAGTTGTATTGGACTCCATGTGCTGCGCATTGTAATTTTTTTAATGTTGGAGGACATTGGAAAATTGAAAGTCTGCGACCAAACTCTCTCGTTAGCTAGGTAAGTGGTCAAATTTATATATGGACATTGTTGGGTTCTTTCAAGGATGAGATCATTTACAAAGAACAGTGAACTACTCCGTCCAACAGTAGCACGGTTTGCCAATGCTTATCTTACTCTCCAAAGTCTTTACAAACAAAAGCAACCGCTCCAAGCTATGTTTTCTTCAAAAAATTGGGCTTCTAGTAGTTAGGAAAGAAAGGTTGAAGGGGTAAAGGCTCATGCAACTGTGTTGTTTGATCCAAAATTTTGGCTTAATGTTTCTTTTTGTATCAAAAGCACAATACCTTTGGTTAGTGTTTTGCGAGAAGTTGATTCAGATGAGAGGCCTGCTATGGGTTACATTTATGAGTTGATGGATTTGGATAAAGAAAAGACTGCTTTCAATTGTGGAGGAAATGTTAGGAAGTACGGACCAATTTGGAACAAGATAGATGCAAGGTGAACACCACAACTTCATAGAGCATTGCATGCTGCTGGTTATTATCTAAACCCTCAGTTGCGCTATCGAGATGCCTTCTCCAATGTTGAGGAGGTGAGACAAGGATTATATCAGTGCATGGACAGAATGTTGAGTTATGATGAGCGTCTCAAGGCTGATATCCAATTGAACTATTATGACCAAGCAAACGGGGAATTCGGAAGTCGTGTTGCAATTGATTCCAAAGCGACACGCTCTCCCGATAAGAAACTAATATGAAAATAATAAAACAATTACGTTCTTTAAAATTAAAATACGAGATTGAAATAATTTGTGCATTTTTAAATTATGTAGCTAATTAGTGGATTTGATTTGGGAGCAAAACACCAGAGTTAACAAAATTTGCTATTCGAATGCTTAGTCTAACTTGTAGTGCTTTGGGATATGAGAGGAATTGGAGTACTTTTGAGTCGGTAATATATCTTTCTTTCCTAAACTTTCTTATGCATAAAATAAAATATTCATGTTTCTAAATTGTTATATTTCGTTTCTTACATTATTATATTAGATTCATACAAAAAAGAGGAATAGGCTTGAGCACAAACATTTGAATGCTTTGGTCTATGTGAAGTACAACACTAAACCAAGAGAGAGGAGAATCAAAAGAAGACAAAACATCGATCCAATCCTAATTGATGAAATTGATTCGGGTGATGAGCGGATTGCTGAAAAGGAAGATCTTGTCCTCCCCCTTGATGCTTCTTGGCTTGATGAAGAAGAATTGTTTGATGCTGAAACAATTAGGACTGTGTCTATCACTACCTATGATAGAAGTGTGGAGAATCGATCAACTACGACTACAATTAATGTTGACTCATCTTCGAATGCAAAGAAAAGAAAAGTTGGTGAAGGTTCAAGTAAGTTGTTAAACAAATATGTACTAGTTGCATATATATTATTATATGTGCCTATTTAATTAGTTTGAAATCCTATTTCTTGTGTAGGAAATGATAGAGGAAAAGGCAAGGCAGCGAGATGTATCCTTGTGGATGAAGATATGAAGTTGGAAGAAGTTGGTGGAATAGATGATGGAACCTATCCCATTATAAATATAGCAGATGAAGATGATGACAATATTAATGAGGATGACTTAGAGTGACCTATTATTTATTTATTGCTTTGTTTATAGAGTGTTAGAGTTTAAGTTATTTTGTTTATTGAACAATTGGAATTTAAGTTATTTTGATCATCACTTAAGCTATTTTTTTATTATAGTATTAATGAGAATGACTTAGAAAGCTCTTCTAATACTTGAAATTATTTATTAATTTTGGTTTTATGCTTAGAATGGCTTTTAAGAATTTTATTTGATAATTCTTATTTTTTTACTCTTTTTATGCTATATTTAATTAATTTTGTATTATATAAAAATAATAAAATTCAAAAGGCTTACGCCTCGCCTCAACAGGGGTAAAACGACTCTTCTTGCGCTTTCACCTTTAAAAACACTAGGTAGGAGTAGTATCTATGAAGCACAGATACTTCAAATAGGAAGACGTATCCGTATCGGACACCGACACTCCTTGGATATTTACGGATACGTATCAAATACTTATTAAAAGTATCAGATACTTCTTAATTAATTTTTCATGAATTTTGAAGTATAGGATACTTAGTTTTGAAGTATCGGATGCTCCAAGTCACATATTATCAGATACGTCTTAATTAATTTTGAAGTATCAAATGCTCCAAGTCTTATATTACTCTTTTTACGAAATTAGAATTATATCATTTCTTGCATAATATCATAATATAATATAATTGCGAGGATAAATAGAATATTTTTACAATACTTTGCTTAATTTTTTTTATAAAAACAACATAGTAAGCTAAAGTAATAGAATTCATCAAATTGACATATCTTCATTGTATCATGCATATCCCCTATAACTACATAGAAGTAAGGATTAATAAGATAATATAACAATAGTAAAATTAAATATCAATAAAGAAATAAGCAAATAAACTTGCGTAGAATATTTTTGACCAGTGCAAAAGGAAAAAACATAGGGTTAAGTTGTACATTGTTTTGATATTATAATATAACATATTAGATTTGATATTGAAATGAAATATTTGCAAGACTTATTGAAAATTTAAAAACTAAACTAGTTGCCGCCTTAAATTAATACATAATTATTAAAGATTAGTATTTTGCATCATAAAGATACTGTGATTTCTCAACATTCTTGAGCTTATGTGTAACTCACTGCTAATAATTTATTTATTTTTTATTTTTTACAAACGTATCCTAGCCGTACCCATATCCTACTTTTTTAAGCTTTGCTGTATTGCCGTATTCGTATCGTATCCGTACCTCGTATCTGTATTTGTGCTTTCTAGAGTAGTACCAATAGAAAATAAGTTACGAGAAAATAGATTGAGATGGTTTGATCATATACAACGGAGATCAATAAAGGCAGCAGTGAAAAGATGTGATACGATACGATACAATGACAGTAGATGAAAATATTAAGGGAAGGGGCAGACCTAGATTGACGTAGGCTGATATAGTAAATAGAGATATGAATCTCCTTAATTTGACTAACCAAATGGTCGTTATAGGGTCGAGTGGAAAAGAAATATTCATATAGCCAACTCCATTTGTTGGAACTTAAGACTTAGTTTGGTTATGATAAAATTAAAACCCAAAATATTACATTAATTTTCACCAATTCCTTCACATTTTACATCTTTTACCTTTCATTAATTATAAATCACTATCCATGATATACCATAATATTTATAATTTTTATTTTTAAGAAAAAATTAACCCACCCAGCCATGAACCCGATTTCCCCTGCCCCCGATACACCGGCCCAGTGACCATCCCCAGGCTCATCAATTCAGGAAAACAGGTAAATTCTTGTTGAACCAAAAAGAAAAATTATAGGAGTATACAAACATATACATACATATATATCGATGAATTTAATACAGATATATGATTTTGATGATTTTCAAGCATACATTATACTTGTGAGATAAACACAATGAAGTTAATACACAAATTACACATTCGTTGATATATATATATACATATACATAGATATACAACAAGTGTATGAATAAGAGTGAAAGATTGAAACTTTACATTGATAAAGTGCTGCAATTGGGGAGAGTTTAAAGAAGGATCCATTGAAGATAACAATCGAAAACAGTTCTCTCAGTCTGAGCTGATTATTGCTTTTGAACTTCAAACAATACAGAAACCCTAATGAAGCCGCTCTCAGATGGGAGAAGAAGAAGAAGAAGAAGAAGAAGAAATAGGATAAAGGCAATATTGGGCCTAAGACATAGTTTTAGTGTTTGGCAGGGCTTTCATGGGCTAATGATAAAAATGAAATATGGGCTTTAGCCAGTTGTGCACGTAGGCTTCTTTTTTTCTTTCCCTCTTGTTTTGTTTTTTTTTTTTTTTTTTGGGAGAAAAAAAAAAACACTCCAGAATTTGACCCTGGTAATAAAATAGATTTTTTTTATTTTGCCAATTTAAATTTTAATATTTTGATTTGTTTTCAATTTAGACTATTCGTCTATTTCCGTTAAGTAAAACAGATGAAAAATTAGTATTTTAACTATTAAATTCAATATAGGTGTATATAAATTATTTAAAATATTATTTTTCATTATATATATTTTTTTCGTTGGTTTTACTTAACAAAAATAAATAGATGGTTAGATTGTAACAAATCAAAATATTAAGATTTAAATTGATAGAATAAAAAATTCAAGTAAGCTTTTAAAACAAGAATTGGGTTAGTAAGTTTATTTTTTTGTGTGTAATTAATTTTTATTTTTTAAATGGGTATGTAAAAGCTTTAAGAAATATTGTGCAAGTAATCTTTTAAAAACAAATTTGGGTAAGTAGCGGGTAAAAAAAAAATGGGTAGTTACTGTTTGTTTTTTGTTTTTTTTTTAAGTTTGGGTTTAGATCCAAGGATGGAAGTGAACCGAAAAAAAAAAAAAGGAAAAAGTAATTTTTTTGGGATCAAAATAAGGAAATTTAACTTCTTTTTTTTTTTGTATGGACCAAAGTGAAAAACTTAATATTTAAAACTCTAAAGTTACCTCTCAGTTGATAATTGGACAAAAATAGAAAATGACAAATAATTTAGGGTAAATTATACTTACCTCTCTTGAAAAAATACAATAAATTTTATAATTTTAACATAATTACATTAGACTCTCATAATATTTTACTTCACATAATAATTAATCTCAATTTTGTCAATAATTTATTAGTAATTGAGAAGGCAATTTTTGTGGAAATTAGGCCGAGCTAAGACCATCTGCTAAATGGACCGAATTAGGTATACACTCTTGGTCATTGGGCCGAGCTAGGATAAGGATGGGCGCTATAAGGCCAAGAAAATGTAGTCGTATTACAGATTTGGGCCGAAGTAATTATCTCGATAGCGCGGTCCTAGACCTTCCACGTCTAATTGGTCAGAGGTGGATTACTAGCGACATGACCTGGCAGTCGTAGACCGAGGTGTCAGTGGAGATTGGACCGAGCTAATGGATAGCTCGGCAGAGTGTCATTTCAAAGTCAAGGCTGACTGAATTGATTTAATTAGTACCGAGCTATATAAGCATGGTTAAGTCTTGTGCCAACCGAGGTAAGAGATTGCAACTATCTCACTTAGGTAAGCAATGAGTAAGAAGTTATCAGGATAGTCATTATCCTCGGGAGTATGATTTCTAGGAGGACTCTTGTAAAGAGAGTTGGAATCCTACTAGGATTGTGCTAGGCAAAATTTACAAAAACCCATGACAGGACCTATATACAAGTATCACAATTCTTACTCTAGAATACACAGAGTTTTTGTGTCTATTGTCTATTTGTTGACTTAGGCATCGAAGAGGTTTCCGACACACACCTGTCGGCTGGCTCACATTTGTATTTTCAGATAGCAAAGTAACGACGTTTGAAGGAGTGCAAACTTAATCAATAGGATTATACGAGAAGATTATTTTGTGCTCGTACAGTTATATAAATGGGGAAAAAATGATATTATTATCTATTTTACGTTGAAATATATATTTTTTCTTAGTTTTGCTTGCGTCTCTGCACTTTAACCTTATCAAAAAGGAGGCCTGTAAATCAAAGATCACAATAATGCAGCGGAATAAAATGTTTAGATCATACCTGATTCGATCTAAAACTTCATGGATAAATCACGTGCTTCCAGAATCTAATCAATCAATCCCAGCAGTGGGGTGATATTACAATGGTGAATATCACCCACACAAACCACAGTGCAAAATGACTTGATCGTTGTTTCTTGGGAGAGAGTCAGTTTATGGGTTGAAAAACAAAAACTACGTTGTTTCTCTCTTAGGTTACCCATAACCATATATCAGATATATTCATTCATAAAATAATCATAATTGAACATATCTTTACAACATTGTTACTCACAGAGCACTGGGCTATAAGCAGCTAGTGGGCGTCCTCGGATGCCAACCTACACAGTTACAGAACGAACACACACTAAGTTACACACTCGGGAATCAACAACTTAGTCCCTATCTTGACTCGGTGTGGTTCTACATCAATATCATCATTAAGATGCCTTAAACTAGGCCTAGGAATGTCTAGGATGGAATGAGGATGCAAAAATGCACTTTAAAACACTTTTCAGAATTTTTTCAGAAAACAGGGGTCTCGCTCGAGCGTGGCTTTCTACGCTCGAGCGGACATGCAGACAAAGGAGCTCCGCTCGAGCGTAACTTCCCTCACTCGAGCGGATTGTAAACTCATGAAAAAGTACTGGATGCATGTAATTCACGCTCGACCCCCGCTCGAGCGTGAGACTCAGGTCCTCGCTCGAGCATGAACTTTCTCACTCGAGCGGACTGTAAAACACATGAACTTCTGGGCATATGCATTTCACGCTCGAGCGTAACTTTTCACGCTCGAGCAGAGGTGCATGACTCAGAGTGTACGCTCGAGTGTGAAGTCCTACGCTCGAGCGTGGGTCCAAAATCTGGAATTTCCAAATTCATCCCCTAGCACAAAACTCAACTTAAAAGCCTCAAAATTCGATCTTTTTGGGCCAATTTTCTGGAAAACACTTTAAAACTCATAATATAACATGTTTTGAAGATCAATTTGAAAAATCAAAGCCCAAAGGTAAGTTAATTAAACACAAATTTCAAATAAACTTCAAGAACAAGATGTACATTTAACATGCATGTATTCAATTGAGTTCAAAGCTTCTAACACATGATCAAATGAGCCAATCCCTCCAAAATCATGATGAATTCATGAACTACAACTAGAAAATGGACATGCATGTGGGGCTTTTTATGAAAACAACCTCAAATCCCAAGAACATGTACATGCATGCATGAATTAGCTACTCAAATCAACTCTTTAAACCAATTCTTGACTTAGATCACTGATGACTCATGAACCATGCAAGATACAACTAGAATTCACAATCAAGAAAATGATTTCCTACCTTAGGTCTTGAATATCAAGGTATGGAAGCTCAATTCGCAATTATTCTCCAAATCTTCTAAATCTCCAAGCCAAATTCTTGATGAACTAAATTTTCTCCTACTCTCCCTCTTTCTCTCTCGAATTGGTCTCTAGAGGAAATGGGTGAGATGGTGCAACAAAGTGATATAGGAAAAATCAATTAATGGCCTAAAGTGCCCACTTAATGGCAATATTGAAATAAACTTGAACTAATGTAATTTAGATTTATTTAATCTAATTTAATCATACCAAATCGCATTTTAATTAAATCTACCATAAAATCACATAAATTCTAATTAGCATAAAATACCAATCAATTTCAGATTCGGCCGTCGATAAGGCCTTCAATTTACAGTTCAAAACTTAAAACATGAACAGATCGATCAAATAACAAACAGATAGAAATGCAAGTAAAGCAATATACTCTTGCAATCAATTCAGAATTTCAGCCAAATCAGTTACTTATCATTCTCAGTTACAGTTTAGCATTAATCAGAGGTTAGGGTTGTCACAGTCTTCCCTCCTTAAAAGAGTTTGGTCCTCCAAACTCAAATTACCTTCATTTTGGAAAAATACCGGATTCAGTGAGAACAATTCAGGATATCTCTTCATCATATCGTCTTCCCTTTCCCAAGTGGCATAGACGCCACCATGGTTTTGCCAGTCCACTTTCACTAACGGAATTTCTTTGTTCCTCAACTTCTTAATTCGTCGGTTTACAATCTGAATAGGCCGTTCTTCATAAGTGTAGTCATCACTTAGCACTACACGGGTAGGCTCAATAACATGGAAGGGATCCCAAAGATAATCCCTCAACATTGAAATGTTGAAGACATTATGCATATGCTCCATTTCAGGAGGAAGCGCTACTTGATACGCCACCGGATTAATCTTTTCAATGATCTCATACGGTCTGACATATCTCGGTGCTAGCTTACCCTTGACTCCAAAGCGAGTCTGACCCTTCATTGGTGTCACTTTAACAAAAACATGATCACCCACTTCATATTCCCTGTCCCAGCAGATAGGAGATCGACGTTTTCTGCCATATAAAGCCTCAAAAGGCGCCATACCAATGCTCGAGTGAAAGCTATTGTTGTAGGCAAATTCGACTAATGGTAAATGATTTTCCCAATTTCCTTGGAAATCAAGAACACACATACGCAGTAAACCCTCCAGAGTCTGGATGGTCATTTCTGACTGGCCATCTGTCTGAGGATGGTATGCACTACTCAGTCTCAGTTCAGTACCCAATGCAGTTTGCAGACTTTGCCAAAATCTCGATGTGAACTTCAAATCCCTGTCAGAAACAATAGATATAGGCACTCCATGCAATCTAACAATCTCGTCAATATAAATTGTAGCCAACTTGTCCGCATTATAGATTGTTTTGACAGGTAAGAAGTGAGCAGATATAGTCAATCTATCAACAATAACCCAAATTGAGTCCATACCTTTACTGGAGCGAGGCAGTCCAACAATAAAGTCCATAATAATATGTTCCCATTTCCACTCCGGTATTGGTAAGGGTTGCAGTAAGCCTGCGGGTCATTGATGTTCAGTTTTAACTTGTTGGCAATGTAGACATTTCGACACAAACTCGACAATCTCTTTCTTCATTCCCGGCCACCAGAAATTCAGTTTCAAGTCTTGGTACATTTTTGTGTTTCCCGGATGGATGGAAAGTTTTGAATTGTGGCCTTCTTGCAAAATTCGTCTTTTCAGTTCAGAATCATTCAGTACACATAACCTTCCTTGGAATTTCAATACATTGTTCTCAAATTTAAAGTCCGGCCTCGGTTTAGACTCTTGTTCA